GTCGCGGAGAACCTAACGGGTAACCGGGGCTCCGGCTCGACGTGCAGGAGAAGGAACGGGGTGGTTTTTAGTCAGTAAGAGTCTGACACTCCCTCCCGCCTCACCCAGGCGGGGGCAGTCATTCGATGATTTTCCCCCCTTAAAAAAAAAAAAAAAAAAAATACCGAATTGCACTCAAATAGTTAGTTCGGGTTTAAGCCACAGAAGCAATAGAGAGTCCTGGAATTTTATGACATAGTTTGGTATAAGTTAAAATATATTCAGTTAATTAAATTTGTATTTTTTCTTTAAAATTTTTGATTCTGATGCATGTAAATACTATTATTAGTCCTTGAAAACAGTTTTCTTTTGGCAGTCAAAGGCTTAACCAATATAAGACGTTGATATGTATTTTCACACTACGGGCTACATTATCGAATTTTTTACACGGTTCCCTTTTTATCTCTTATTAAATATAGCTTATGTTCATCATCGATAATGTAGAGTTCCAACGGTAAAAGAATTTTTGGAATCGCTCCGATAGTTTCGGAGGAGATTCAATTCAAACAAACAAACACAAAATCAAAGTTTTCCTCTTTATACTATTAGTATAGATTGCACCTGACATAATCATGACGCGCATATTTATTACGTACATAAAAAAATTTGTCATGATCGATTAAATCTTATTATAAAAAGTTGAGTAAAGTTTACCTCGAGACGTCTCATTTATCATTCTAATTGTTAAGATTTTATTTTTTATGTAACTTTTTAATAAGAATCTGCATTTTTACATCAATGCTGCGAAAATGAAAATATCATTTTCCTATTAAACTCCTTCTTCTTTCTCCTTGAATCTTTCTCAATTACTTTTGGAGTCACCACTGATTCCTAACATAAAGTCAAGTCTACATGTAGTGATTGCTATCTGTCCTTTAGACCGTAGTCATATCAAATTCTTGCTTAGACGCGTTACTAAACACCTCTACAGAAATACAGAAGTACAGACGAGAATATTTTCGATTTCCCCGCAGGATAAATCGTAATAAGATATCTCGTTACTGGGCGCCGAAAGGAAAACCCTTTCACCAAAACATTACCGTTACTATCAAGCAAAAATAGAGGTTTGGTAATATAGAATAACAACAAATACGTCGATATAAAAACGAAGGGCTTACGCAGAAAAAAAATTCTGTTAGGAGGACCACAATCGACTCAGGATTATTAAATAGGTGTACAGTGGACTTGACTGAACTGCATCACAGCGTCCTTACTGTACCTATAGTTTATTTGGCAAGAGGATGTTTAGTGATATAATTTAAAATAAATTGATATTAACGTGGATCGTACTGCGTCAGTGTAGTGTACTATTTTCCTAATTTCTATTATTATATTCAATTCGAGAGAAGTAAAATATTATTGAGGTTTTAGGTAGCACCATAGAGTTAAGATTACTTCTGGATAGTTCAAATAACAGTGTTGGCCTTCTTTTCATGAAATAAAGGAAATAACTAGCAAAATGATAGGCGTACCCAAAAAAAATTACATGTCTACACGTGGCGTAATTTTTATCGAACAAAATTGAATAGCTCAATGACTTTTATTTGTTATCTGACATTATGGAGATATATTCTAAAATAGCTTAAAATAATAGGACTTTGCCACTGTAATTTAAAACGGAGTAGATACATTTTAAATAGGTGAGAATACGTACAAAACGAATTAATTTTGGGAATACTTTTTGTATATTCGTAGAAAAGATAGGTTACATAAATTATTCAGTTAAAATACATCCGAAAAGAGAAACAAAATGTCGATCAAAGAATGGAATAGCACAAATGTTTGACTCCGTGCTGTAACTGTAATCATGCAATACATAAATACATTGGTTCTCGGATATACACTCGACTCAAGTGATTTTAAGTATGTAAGTATCTAACAATACAATAACAAAATACAGATAGTGTTCTGGCTTCGCATCACAATAATTTCTTTGCACTTCCCTATGGTTGACTATTGCGGCGCGTCGCGTTCCGCGCCTCAAAGAGCCATCAGACCACCACGGATGATGCCGATAGGCAGCCGCGGAGAAATTAACGGGTTACCGGGGCTCCGGCTCATAGTGCAGGAGTAGGAACGGGGTGATTTTTAGTAAATAAGAGTCTGACACTCCCTCCCGCCTCACCCAGGCGGGACAAGTAATTCGATGATTTCCCCCCCCTTAAAAAAATGCTTGACTGTTAATCACACGACGACGTAACTATCACGATACTACATCTGCTAGATTAATTAATATTTTTTGATAGAAATTTGCTTCTCTAGTACCTACGCTAAACTTGACCTGGAAATCGAGTTGGCAATGAAAAGTAACGATTAGATAAATAAAACGGTTTTTTTAAATACGATAGTGGCCTGTCTGCTTCTTGTGTACGTGTTACCTTTAACAATGTGTTTCTAAGTCAATCGAATTTCTTTAATCATTTAATTTTTTCATTCGTATCTTTTAAATGACAACGCGTGTAGTTTATGTATGTACCTATGCTGTCTAAAATGTTACCAAATTGTAGAAAATTGTAATTTTGGTAAGTGACGTAAATAAGGGTATACGATTATACGTATATCTCAGTGAATAAATTAGCGATTAGTAATGGTTTTACTTCGTTATATAACTTTTAGTATAATATATTCTTATCTTAAGGTAGTGGAGGTGTCTTTTGAACTAAAACTCCTTAGCTCAAAGCCTAGACCGATCTGAAATCATGGTTTATTATAATTTATAGCTATAATCATAACATAAAAAAGTGGAAAGCATTGTAGATACATATTGCTTCTTTTAAACCTTTTACCTAAAGGAGACATTATGGTACAAGAACTCGAACTCGGTCACTGAAGATTTTTGTTTTTTGCATAGTAGGTACTGGTTATTCTAGGCTTACTAAAATACACTCCAGTACAGAGTAGTAAATCGCATAATTATGTAAGTACAAAATTATTTAAAAACATAATTTGTTCATAATATTTTCCTTTTAATTTCAGCTCATCCAAAAGTCCTTGCTTTCTATTCCCATTGTGGTATGTTGGGTACTACAGAGGCCATTCACTATGGAGTTCCTATGATCGGTATGCCGATATTTGGAGATCAACCGGGCAATGCTGCTGCTATCGAAGAAAGTGGTCTTGGAGTACAAATTCATATCAAAGATTTAACTAAAGAACTCTTGCTGGAGAAGCTTAGGACTGTTTTAAATCCTGAGTAAGTGAAACCTTTTGAATATTTTTTCATTCATTAATAATTAATTTTAGTACTAGTCTTATGTAGTAAGTCACTTTCCACACATGTAGGTACCTATGTTGTAGTAGATATATCTTAGAATTTCCGATAGTTAAAAACCAAATTATACTTTACCTAACTTCCGAATGAAACTAGAAACTCCCTTTTTTATGGAATAGGAGACACACGAGCAGTCGGATCACCTGATGGTAAGCGATCAGCGCCGCCCATGGACACCCGCATTACCAGAGGAGTCACAGCCAGTCCTTACTTGCAACCAGTCGACCAACAATACAATAAACATTGTTAGACATATTTAAGTTGATAGAGACATTATTTAAAATGACTACTATTTAATACAATTACGCTAGCTACAATTTCATTTTACAATTGAATTCTAAATAATGTAGAATTATGAAAATGTTTACATAATTATTATGTACAATTGTACACAATACAAGAAGTTTACGTCGCACTCCTATATATTTACCGTAATGATTTAATAATGTTTCTGTATTTTCATGTTTATACCAATCATACCTACTTATAGAACCTTCTGCCATAACAAGTTATTAATAACGTCCCAACACTTCCCACATAATTCTATCGAAAACTTTTTATTTTACCAATGTTTATATATATGTAGTTTCAATAACAGAAACTATTTGTTCAGTACAATCTATATTTTTTTTATATTATTAAGAAACTGATTCTTCTATAATAGAAAAAGATTGACACTACTTCTATAACAATCAACTTGACTACCATCCGTGAAACTGCAATTTTTGATCAAACTTTGGTAAAAATAATTTTGCAACCTTTGTTCTCTGACCAATATACTTACAATTTATATAGTAACTCACTTTAATGAATATTTTTTAATATCAACACACGTATAATAAATCTACCCCTTAATATTACAGATTCAGAAGAAAAGTGAAGGAACTGTCAAAAATATGGCATGACCGCCCACAGTCAGCCATGGACACTGCCATATACTGGACGGAATACGCTGCACGCACTGCCAACTACACTTTCAGATCTCCGGCCAGCTCCGTACCATTATACCAATATAGGATCTGGGATGTTACAGCAGTGATCCTTGCTATTCTAATTATATTTATATATTCTATAAAGACAGTAATCTCTTTAGTACAGAAGAGAAGAGAAGATCGTTATTATGAGTTCAAGACTAAGTAAATTTTTTTAATATGTGTTATTTATACTTCGTTTTGTTGAATGTATGTTTTTACACTGTGTAAAATCGGTTAAGTTAATTGGTATGCATGTAAGAAAATACAGATTACAAAGAATAAAAGAGTAGCTTTTTAACAAAGGCACTATTTTTTCAACCATTCGTCGGCACAATAATTAACCTTTTAATAATTATTTTTATCTGTATACCAAATAACTTGACTGACTGTACAAGTGCAGTGGTAAGTGATGTAACAGTCATTTATGTCAAATGTGTGTAAATTTATTAAAGTTGTTAAAATGTTGTGAATAAAAAGTTTTGTCTATTACCCAAAATTCACGTTAATGAATGGAATTTCTATGGTGAAAGTCTTGCATATTTTTTCGTAATTAGCTCTTATTTACAAAAAGAACTTTTTTTAAAAGTAATATTGCAATCGAACTGAAATAACACTTGTTAAGTAAATATAGATAACAGCGCCACCTATGGTATCAGAGTCGAACAAGTTGTACTATATCTTGTTCAGGAAATATGCGAGTTACTAAAGTATATGTTAGATGGCATTGCTGTCGCCGATGTTTTATAACATCAAGTAACGATGGAAAATCAAAATATAATCATTAGAGAATAATATTATGCACGTTGCTAGCTAACAATTAAAATGAATAACCGAACTCAATGACCCAATGTTTTATTTATAAAAAAGGTGTCTAACAGAACGAAACGAAACGTTTTCCTTGCAAAGGTTTTTAAGAAAACAAGGATGACACATTTATTTATCGGGAACATCGATAAATAGTACGGAATCGTAAATAAATGTGAACGTTATATAATAAGTCATGACTCATTGACTATCTAGAAAAAAGTTAAGCCAGAGATGTTGAGGACAGAAAAGAACAATTTGATATCCATTAAAAACGAAACAGTGCATCCATGGGCATATTAAGATTTTAAAAGAACAGCCATAGTAATATTCTCAGCCTTAATGTAATTGCTCCAGACTTTTAATATCTATTTGCTTACTCAGCTGTTTACCACTGTGTTTTTTTACATGGTATCGTTGTTTCATAATAGTGCACAAAAACACATAGTCATTGTAATCCCAAGTAATTCTGTAATTTAAATTTATCCTATGTTTGTGTAGTTGGTAGCCTTAAATTTGCCCCATTCTTTTTGCTAAGTAGATTTATGGTAATCTGTGGCAACGTCGTGAGTACACTCGTAATAGGTATGTTAAATATATTATTTTATTCATTCATGTTATATCTAATATACTGCTATCAACTACTTAAGATGAATGTTTTTTATTATATCTATTTACTAGTTATATCTGTCTGTATCTTTGAGGATGCTTCTAAATATCTGATCAAATAATTAATCATTATTATCGATATCAATATTGTGCAAATAAATATGATAACACTACACATGAATCCAAAATTAAGAGGAAAAGCATTAAGAAAAATTAACGGAAATATTTTTGTGGTGACTCAAGAGTCAAGAGCTAATGTTTATTTTTACCTTAACTAAAATAAAAAATTATGTACTCAAAAGATAAGTAGGTATCATTTCTAAGTAAACAGGTTTTTATCTAAGTCACTCGATCAAAGTGCAGAAGTCACGCCAATTACCTTCTGATCGTTGTTATCAAATTATTATTATTCGGTATGCAGGTGCTGCAGACTACCTCGTTGGCCGAGTGGTCGCAAATGCGACTGCCAGGCAAGGGATCTCGGGGAGCGTATTACTGGGTTTTTAAAAAAAAATTCAGTAGTAGCATGGAGTGTAGTGTCGTGGTGGACCGGAGGTTTAAGACGCCCGCTTCTCATGTATGAGGGTGCGGGTTCGAAACCTACCAACGGCATATATCTGTTTAGCACACTACCATAACCACATGTATTTAAAATTAATCATAACCATAACCATTATCATAGTAAACTACAATTACCTACTAAATAGTAATTTAAATATAGAAGATCCAACAGTCAAACTATTTACATATAGTTTTGTTGGACATGGCGTTAGATTATAAGGCATACCATGTACCTTTATTATTAATAAATAAATAAATAAATAATTATAAGTACCAATGTCTTGTTTTTTCCGAGTCATATGTACTTTCTAAGATTATTCAAACACCATTGCCAAACGGTGAAGGAGAACATCGTGAGGAAACCTGGACTTATAATTTCTAATTGTAAGTTTGAAATCGCCAAATCGTATTGAGCAAGCGTGGTGATAATTGCTCAAACTTCTCCGTGTGGGAAGAGTTCCATGCTTTTCCATACCCACTGCTGAGCACTTTGCTCAGCAGTGGGCATTATAGGCTGTAATGTGTGCATGGAATTTGGAAATGTGCCCGGTATATGGCAATAGGCTCACCCCCTATTACATGGGACTCATAACATAAATAGTGATAAGTGGGTGTTACATTGTACAGTGGCCTTAAGTGCCGTAATGTAAACCTATGTCTACGCCTTCGAGAATAAAATGCGTGATGTTATGTTGGTCTGCAACTACGAAAATAAATGAGTCCACGGCAGCCGCGCAAGGTGTAGCGGGTTCATTCCCGCACGGAGTAACTCATCGGAGTAACTCTTTATGTGATCCACAATTTATTATTCCGGGTCTGGTTGTGATGTGTGTGTGAAGTTGCATGTTTGTAAACGGACCCAAGACAGGAGGAAATCCTAGTGTGGGGGCAAAGTTTAAAATGAAAATAAAGATTGATTCATTACATACATTGCCTTTAATTGATTATAACACTGGCAAATGCATATTGAGAACCGATTTGTTGTAATATGATGGGTAAACAGTCGTTGGCTGAAACTAAATAAATAAAATAAAAAAAAATTAGAGACAGTATATAACCATTGGTCGGTTACTTACCCACCAATCATTACAAAATATATGGCTTGATTAAAAACCACATCCTACATAAATAAATATGAATAATTTTTTTTTTCTTTCTAACATTTAGTGTAACAACAATAGCTACTGTCTCGGCGTACCGAGTTTATGTATTTACTAAATATTGTCGCGCTTATGTACAGTTCTGTGGCACGATGTTTATGTACAACTGAAAGCCTTTCAGAATACGGGCGACTGTCTTAATTTTCACACCTACATATATACCAATAATGGTGATGGCTATAATTAGGTGAAATGCTGATGATCTGTACTTAGATAGATAAGTGAAATTTTAAACCATAGGTCAAAAGGCACACACGATGTAGATACTCGGAGACTCGGTTGTCATTCAAAAAACAAAAATAAAGCCGTCAGGGTTCTTATTGCCTGAAAAAGTAGATCATCAGTTATGATTTCTCTGATAAAATGTTTCAACATATTAGATTAAATGGAAATAATTTTCCAGGGATTTTTTTTTATTTTTATGTTATGAGAACCATGACATGAGGCAAGTTCAAATACCACTCTATGACATTTCTGAAAACAATCGTGGATAGCGAAATACCTACAAAAAGTTTTTGATTTTGGGATCGAGTTTCGATATTTCCGAATCGAACCCAATACGTCAATGAATGCCAATCCGTTAGCCAGCCGCGCCAGTCGCACTTGCACCCAACAAAACTATCGCTAGACATCATGTTATTTTATTTAGAAAAATTGTAAAATAAATGTAAATCCAAAATTCGCAAATCATCGTCGTATATGCGTAAGTAAAGTACCTCTGATTTTAAAAACATAACATTACCAAGTTGTTATACAAAATGCGTAGTAATCAGCAAAAATAATAAAATTATTCACCAGACGGCGTCATCATTATAATAAAAACAGCTTATTCACTTGATAAACTTGTTATCCCATAAATATATTGATAGTTTACGTTTAAAGTAGCGCTAGGTTTGTGTTTAGTCATCATGTTGGAACAAAACTCGTGCATGTAGGTTTACGTATAGTGGCATACTGGCATTTGATCGTTGTAATGCTTAAAATGCTAGTGATTTTGTCAGTCGCGAGTGTCTCGATTCAGTGTACTGCCGGAGGCCACAGAGTCGACACCGGCCGGCGCGGTATTTTGCGCAGTATTCGAGACACGCGCCGCTCAAGGCCTTCAAATACTCCATAATGAAGCCCAGTGTATTAATTGCTACCATATTGTCATTACTAGTGCTTACAGACTACGCCTACAGTCTTAATATCCTTGGAATATTTCCGTACCAAGGCAAAAGTCACTTTATCGTTTTCCGTGTTTATTTACGTGAACTCGCAAAAAGAGGTCATAATGTGACCGTTATTTCTCATTTTCCTGAACAAGATCCACCTGCGAACTATCATGACATAAGTTTGGCTGGAAGTACGGAAGCCATAGAAGGCGTCGGACCCTTCCAGACTTCATATCTCGTTCTGTTAGGCGTCAGCCTGTTCCTTGCTCATACTGGAGTTCAAAACTGTGACACAATGTTAGAAAATAACCGAGTACAAAGTTTGATCAAAGAAAAACCAAAGTTTGATGTTATTGTAGTGGAACAGTTCAATAGTGATTGTGCTCTTGGCGTCGCCCACAAGTTTGACGCTCCTGTTGTTGGTATAATGTCCCACATACTTATGCCCTATCACTATCAAAGACTGGGTATCCCCTATAACCCAGCTTATGTACCATTCCATTTTCTGGAAGGTGGAACTAAACCTACTCTCTATCAAAGAGTAGAAAGAACAATATTCGACTGTTATTTCCGAACACTATTTAAATATTATACTCAAAGAAATAATCAAAACAGTCTTGCTAAGTACTTCGATGACATCCCGCCCTTAGATGATTTAGCTCGAAACATGAAGTTCCTTCTTTTATACCACAACTTTGTACTCACTGGATCAAGGTTATTCCCTTCTAATGTAATCGAAATTGGAGGCTTCCATGTTGTTGACGCAAAACCTTTAACTGGCGTAAGTATTTGTGCCATCTTGAAACTGGTTTATTGTGTTGTGTAATATGAATCAGTTTTTATTTTTGTTTGGCCTCTAATCCGTACCCTGAGCGAAAAAAAATCAATCACAAAAAAACAAAATGAGTTAGACGATTAATCATATAGATACATGCCGTTGCTATTATTCTAATTTGACAAGTTCTATTGAACAAGATAACAATATTTTGATAAACAATCAGATAGTATGGTAATACTATACTACATATTTACATGTACACGTGTAAATAAATGCGAAACTACTCGTAGATAATATTCAAGATATATTATGAAAACTGATTTAAGACACAGTAAATTCAAACTAAGGCACGGCACAAATAAAGTTGATTTTTGTGTACTTCTCACTTACACTAGCATCATAGTAGTAGCAATTGACTTCACTATAATTAAGTTATATTATTTTTGGTCCAGGATCTCAAGAAATTCGTCGATGACGCAGAGCATGGTGTGATCTACATAAGTTTTGGTTCCGTTGTGAGAGCCAGCACGATGCCGGCAGACAAAGTGCAGGACGTACTAAATGTTATGAAAAAACTACCACAACGATTTATTTGGAAATGGGAAGATAAGACGTTGCTGGTGGACAAAAATAAGCTGTACACCAATAATTGGCTTCCTCAAGTCGATATTCTAGGTAAACCTAGTTTAATGAATCCATATTATTGAATAATCGTAATAATGAAACAACAAAATGTCACAAATTAGTCATAATTTGTGATATTGTCACACACAC